CCCCAGGGCAGCACACACACCCACCTGGGATGTGGCCTGGCAGTCCTCGGACAATGTCCAGAGCCGCCAGCTCCTCCTGCCACCAGTCACTGTCCTTCACCCCAGCGTGCAGGGCAGGCTACTCTGCTGAGGACATTCTTCCCCAAACACGGCTGTGTTTTAGAGAACTCCCTCTTTCATTACCAAAAAATATAAGGGGTTATATTAATATTTAATTGCCCTCAGGATCTATACAGTGAATATTGTTATTTTTCGCCAAATGATAAATGAACCTTGATTATGAAATTTGCATTATCCCCATGTATTACTTTTACTAGAAGATAGAAACACCTGGTCTTTGGGTTGACTTTTGTTCCCCCTCTTTCATTCTGCAAGAAGTGGGAGTGGGCTTTGCAATTTCAAAGGGGAAACATCTCTTTTCTGTGTAGTTTTTCAGCCTTACCAAGTTTGACAGCTTCCCTAGTTCCCCCTGGCTGGGCTGCGCGAGCTCCTGGGTTTCTTGCTGTTCCCTCGGCACACAGCCCTTGCCTTGATCTGGTTTCCTAAGGGAAAAAGAGTTGTCTGACCCCACCCAGAGCTTTCCAACCTACTGCCTAATTTCTTGGAAGCTTGAGGACACGGCCCCACGGCAAGCTTTGTGCAAACAGGCTGCTCTGAGCATCCCCAGGGAAGGGGCACTGCAGGGTGAGCTCAACCTCTCTGGGACACCAAAGAAGCCACCTGCGAGTCAGGACAACAGGGAACAAGTCCCATTACCAGACCCAGAGGCTTAAAGCTTGCAGTTTTTTTTTACTGCCAAGCCAGGCAGGGGCTGATGGCTGAAAGCCCATGAATTCGTGCCTGCTCTCCCACACCACTGTGGCCCCAGAGGTGCAAGCCAGCCAGACGGACTCAGGCAAACACAGGGTTTGGTTCCAGTACAGGTCGAGTGGTTTTCTTTTAATCCCAGAGAAGTGAAATGCAACATTTGTTCGAGTTGGTAATAACATCCAGAGACAGAAGTCCAAGCCCCCTACTCGGTAAAGTCATTTGTGTTTAAGGCACTCTGCAAAACCAGCTTTCCTCTTCTTCCAGTTTTCCCCACGCGGCAGCAGAATACCTGGTTTGGTCTTTTCTCCATAGCAACACCCACACATCCTGGCTCTTCTCACCATCTTTGGGAACTGGTAACAGCAAATCCAGTGGGAGCCGAACGGAGAAACACCAGGAGGCCGGGTCAATAAATACAGACAGGCATGGGAGGGAGCACAGCCCCTGGGGAGGGGGCATGGGGGCTTCAAGCTTCTGCAGGAAGGGGACAGGCACTGACATGATCCCCCTTCCTTTCTCTCCCCCCCAGCTCCAAAAAGGGATGGGGGCACGGGGGCCCACAAGCATCCTCCCCAGCGGCACTCCCAAACATGCGACAGCACCCCAAAACATGGTGGGCTGGGCGGGGGGGGGACCCAGCTGCTCCCACCACACAGCAAAAATGACCCCCAGCCTTCCAGCCGTAAATAAATACCAATAAATAACTTAAACCTTAAATAAATAAATAAATAGATAGATAGATAGATGGATAGATAGATAGATAGATAAATAAATAAATAAGTGACCCAAGGATGGGGACGGAGGCGAGGGGCACCCCAAGGCCCAGGGCAAGGGGAGTGTGCGGGTGGGCATTTCCGTGACCTGCCCCTCCCTGAGATGACAGGGTGCTGGTGCGGAACGGCAGGGCGCAGGGACGGTGTCCCATGGGGCTGTTGGACAACCGAGCGCGGGGGTCCGGGTGCTCATCCCTGGTGTGGGCTCTGCAGCTGGGGTTCCCGCTCGGGGGCCCCATCAGTATGGCTGTGGGCCACTGGGACATGAGCCAAACCCGGACTCGCACACGGGAGCTCTCACCCGCCGCCTCCCTTCCTCCCTTCCCCTTCGCTTGAGCATGGTGAGCCCCGCACCCGGGCTCCACCGAGCTGGGGCAGACGCTCACCCAAGCATGAACACACACCCTTTGCAAACATGCCAAACACCTGCAAATTTTTGCAAACGTTGCTTGCAAATTTTTTTTGCAAACAATTTTTGCAAACTTTTTTTTTTTTTTAAATGGGGAAATGCCCACGGAGACAACCCACACACCAAAATGAGTTTAAGTGCATTAAATCCAGCCATTGGAGAAGGAGCGGGCACAGAAGGTCGGCAGAAGCCCGGAGGGGGGGAACACAGGCATGGCCCCAGGGCTCAGCCAGAGCCTGCCTGCAGGCTGGGGCAGCCCTGGGAGCTCAGGCACGCTGCTATGGCCAGGCACTGAGCCCAGCCCCGGCACTAGGCGGCACCAAGCACCTCCCTGCGGACGCTGCAGACACACACGGATAGAATTGGTAGCATGCTGCCGCCTCGGTGTCACGGCAGACGATGTGCCGAGGCTCCAGCTAGCCAGCACGTCCCAAAAGACGGCAATGAATCCAACAGTATCCCTGCACCAGCATCCCCGCTCTCCCAGACAGCTGGCACACAACCCCCCGAATGCAGCCCCAGCCCTTCCCCACAGGTTTTGGGGAGCTGGCTTCGCACAGCCTCTCTGGACACAGCATCCTTTCCCAGCAGGGAGCCCGTCTCAGTGCTACCCATTTGTTGGGGAACCCCTTCCTCTGGCTTTTTAGCTCTGATGCTGCCAAAGAGGTTTCTGTCCCACGGGGTCAAAAGCATACATCTGCCTTATTTCAAACCGAAAGGTACTTATCCCTCCTCCTCCCCCAAATGTTAAGGAAAATTGTATTTAAAGTTTCCAACCCCTCTCCACACACGCTTTTTGAGAAACAAAACATCGGTGACAGCAAAGGCTGCCATCAGTCCTGTACCAGGAGAAAACCACAGGCAGAGTCTCACAAGAGCAGGACATCTTCCCACACCAGTAGAAGTTTTGCTCCAGAAAACACAGCAAACCAAAGCTCAGAGTCCCCTCTCCCTCCAAAACCTTCCCACCGCAAGGCTGCAGCTCCCAGTGAAACCCAAGACATAGGCACCAAAAGCAGCGGGGTCCCAGCCCGCCGCAAGGACCCCTCCCCCGTCACGGGGAAGTGTGTGTTGAGGCATCAAAATGCAACACTCCCAAAGGAAAAAATAAATAAAGAATTGAATCAGCAGCAAAAGCTACCGAGAATAATAAGTAGCACAGGGATTTTTGGTCTAAAACGCCTGGGGAGCCCCTCTGCCAGCGGGAACCAGGGTGCACATCCTGCCCTGGAAAAGCACAAACCATGGCTGAAGCTTTGCAGCAGCTCGGCCACGCTCTGCAAAGCGATGCCACGAGAACGGGCCGGCACATCAGAGGGAGCAAAGCAGCGCCAGGCTGGGCGTCCCCAGGCTGAGAGCAGCGCTGACAATACCGCAGGAAAGGCTTTGCACAGAAGTGCCAAGCACGGCGACCCTCCCCAGGCCCTCCTGGCAGTGGGACAGAAGATGGGACCCTCCCAGCAGGAACTACTCGCACCCCCAGGGCAGCGCAAACCTCCCGTGGTGCGAAGGCAGGGCCGTGAGCCGGAGGAGCCCCAGGGCTTGTGCTGGGGAGGTGGATGGAGCGGAGAAAGCAGGGAAAGTCGTAACCATCTGCCCAGTAGCGACGAGGCACCCGGGGCATTGGCAGGGCAGCCCCGGCTTACACCTCTGCTGCATGTCCAGGGTGAGATATTGGGAACTGCAGGTCGCAGCCCACAGCACTGCACTGCCCTGTGGACCAGACAATGCCCGCCACCCAGGCAGCCAGGGGCGAGGAGAAAGGCAAATAAAACCCCGTTACCCCTCAAGCGTCTGCAGCAGCAGGAGGCAGCGCCCAGGCAGCACGCTCACCTCCTCCTTCCCAGGCAACCCCAGGCCTGCTCTGCACAGCCTCTGCTCGCATCCTTGCCTCCAACCCACGGAGAGGAGACCCCCATCCCTGCAGAGCCTGGGGACTTACCGCAAGGCACACCATCCCCTCCACCAGTGTTCCTGCCAGGAGCCACCCTGCTCTGTGGGAGGCTGAGGAGGAGGAGGGTCTCCACGTGAGCCGGCATTTGCGTAGAAAATGAGCAAGCACCCAACTTCTTGCAAGGGACTTGGGTCTGCAGTGAAGCATGCGAGTCCCAGGGTACCTGCAAGCCGGTTTGGGTACCCCAACACACACAGCGAGCACCCGGGCTGGGTGAATGGGCACCACCCCCGATTTCTCACTGGGCTAAGAATCAAGTTTCCTTCTGTAGGAGAAGGGTCAGCAGGACTTGGAGCTGGGGGCGGGGAGGGGGGAGAGTGGAGAAACTTCAAATATTTAGTGCACCTTAAACCAAAAAGACATCTAACCTGCCCTTAGACCTCACTCCAAGACAAAAAAGAGCTATGGCGTCTCCTACACTCACAACTACTCCAAACACACCCAGACGCATGCAAAACGTGTCCCGCTTCCCCTCGCTGCGGAAAACCCCTCCCGGGCAGCGGCGCCAGCCTCCCGCTCAGCGCCCCGGCACGGCCACCTTCCACTCCGCTCCCGGGCCCTCCCGCCCAGTCCCAGTGGGCAGGGCAAGGGGCCGATTATCGATCCGAAATGCATAGGTATAGACACCGCGGGAACACCTGCGCCCCGGCGGGAAGGGTCGCAGCAGGAGCCCTCCACGTCCGGCAGGCGTGGTCTCCACTTCTACCTCCAGCTGGGTGGAAAGCAGCATTTGCCACAGGCACGGTTCGATCATGCTCATGCTCCTTGCATTGCCCTGCAAGGAAAGATGAGTCGTTTAGGTCAGACAGCCTCTTTGCCAGCTGCAAGCCCCCAGAAGTACTCGATTCTGCTTCTGGGAAATCCTCCAGCTCAGTGATCCCTCTTCCGCACCCCCGTGCCAGCCAGGCTCTCTTTCTGACTAAGGAGGAGCCGCATTTCCAACCACGGCTACAAAGGCAAGAGAACCCAAAAGGTCTGCTTTGGCTCACAAACCCCGTTCGTTTGCAGCAGGCTGACAGCACCCAGGTCCTCACACGCGCGCGCCGGCGCTGCTCTACTTGGGAGGTATCACGACTATAGGCTGTCCTCGCTTGGGTCTCCACATGAGGACTTGGGCATCGTTGGCATTGGGTTTCACTAGTGCGTTGGGTGGGATGGGCTCCATCCTGCTGAGGATCCGGGGTTGCTCCTGCTGAGTCCTTCCCACCAGCCGTGCCCGCTGCCCCAGCAGCTGCATGGGATCAACCTCAATGTCCACTCGCATCCTCCACTTTATAGTCTGCAAGATGATCTTTTCCTTGGTGGTGGTGTTCATGGCCACCAGCCACGTGGTAAAGCTCTGGTCCCTTTTAATCCTGGTCAGCAGCGGCACGTTACTGTTGCTCACAGGGACAGCCCACGTCACGCTGGGGTAGAAATTGTCATTCATGCTCACCGAAAACCTGGAGATCTTGTTAGTTGGCCCGACCAGGGTCACAGTTTCTGTGGTGTTTCCGTACCAGGGGTAGCTCACACCATCCGAATCGCTGATGGCTTTTACTCTTCCTTCTCGCAGGTCGGGCAGCTCCCAGCTTGACCTAGTGAATGGGAAGAAAAAGACCAGGTTAGGAGGGAAATGGCAGCAACAACACCTAGCGAGGAATGGGGAGGCAAGCAGAATGGGGACCCTCTCCCTGCCTGCAGTAAGCTCTCAAGAACCTCCTTCAAGAACAAATTTGGCTTCAGTTCCTTCACTGAGTCCCTCACGGCCAGCTGAAGCCTTTACTCTGCCAGCACAACACTATTTTAATTAACCTGCAATCAAACCAACTGGGCCAAAACTCATTGCTGAGTCTCTCTGGGGTCACCCTCACTCCTTAGTCAGCTCCTGCGCTGGAGGAGAACAGCCTTCCCCATCCATGAGCAGCACTGCAACCATGGCACTGGCCAAGCCAGTCAGCAGCCCCTTCCTGCAATAAAAGTCTGCAATTTTTATGCCTCTAAATACAGGCGCCTGCAGAGAGACACGTACAATAATTAAACACCACAATTACGCCTGCCACTGATGCAATGAAATCCCTGCAATATGGCTGGGGGAGAAATTCCAGCCCAAATCTTGGCTGCCGACCACATTAGCAGCACCGTGCGGGTACGGCAAGGGAGATGATCGCCACGTGGCAATCACACGTGGGAGCTTTGGTGAAACCTCCCACTGAGTCCAGGCTCTGGCTTCAAATGCATCTGGGCTGCCAGCGGCAGGGTATGCACAGCCACCATCCCCCTTACAAGTGACGACCTCCACTCACTCCAACGTCCCCAAGTGCTCCGGTGCCACGTGCAGGTGAATCTGCCATGACGCAAGGATGCGGGCAGGCAGCACGAGGACCCGCTGCTCCCCCTGTGCCTGTATATGCCGCCCTGCCTGCCACCCCATGCCGGCAGCCCACAGCACCAGCAGCGCGAGCCCACTGGTGAGCTGCAGAATGGACCCCTCCAGCCATCTCCAGCCCCCTCTTGCATCCCCCCTTTCAAACGGCAGAAGACACAGCGACAGAGCCAGCAATTCTGCCCCTCAGTGTCCCCGAGTCACCCTCACACGCGGCCTTGGGAAAGGCTGGTTTCCAGCAGCCATTTCGGCTGAGCACTGCAAAGCTTCTCCCTTTTAACACAAGCCAAGGGGACAACTCCCCCCAGCACTGCCCGTGCTCACGACCCGGCCGCGGAAGAAACGCTACACGGTACCCGCAAAGCCCTCGAATGAGTGAGGCCACACGGCGGGTACCGGAGCAGGCTGTAGGCCGAGAGGAGCAGGCGCTGCCCGGGCCAGGGTACTACAGGGTCGGCTCCGAAGGGCGCGA